GTGATAAACCATCAAATTTTACATAGGGCAGAATTATCTAGTTAAAGCTGAAGTGTCCTGTGGGAGTAATTCAGGTGATAAAGCTGTAAAATGAGGATTACAGAGCACAGGAGCTCACCTGACATAAAAAACCCTCACTTACACAGTCCCCATAGTTCTTTGTAGGCAATTGGCATGTCACCCCTCTCTTCTATAAAAGCTGAGAGAAATACACTGAGTTGGAGATTTAAAAAATAAAATAAAATAAAATTGCAGAGTTATTAAGGATATGAGTACCAAAGTTCTTGACTGTGTTTTCAAACACACTGGTCCCTTAATGCAGACAGCCCTGCCAGATTAAAAGTACTTTAAGTAATTAATTATGAGTGGTGAACCAGCAAGCATGGATAGGTGAGAGCTGTGTCACAGCAGCAGAATACTGTACTGCTGAGAAATCTTCTGGATGCACATCCCGAGAACTTTCTGGTTTAAAATCAGAGCAAGATTTCTCTTCTGTTGTTCAGTAGACAAAAGATCTCCTGAGGTCATTGATGTTCAATCAAATTACAGTATAAATATAACAACACACCTGGCATCTCTCATTTCACTCCAACATTATATATTTTTCTTAAGTGTTTAACGTTAATACTCAAGTCCATAAAGGCTCTGTATATCTACCTATGTTATAGCTATGTTCCTTATACATAGGGTATAAACTTTCCCTATGCCTTTCAAGAAAAAACTATGTAAAAACAACGCGATGAAGTTTGCATGGTTAGGCACTCAAGATTGAAAAAGTCATAGGTGGAACATGAAGTGTCCTCCCTGTGCATATGTGAGGGTTCTTGTCTACACAAACTAGTTTCATCACAGCATTTCCTATCCCCTTCTGTTCTGGAGGTCAGAGGCAAACATGAATAAGAGGGTCCCAGTTCAAGTCCAGGGAATTGTGAAAGACTTCTCAGGATCTTTCCAGCTTTAAGGAGGTGGTGGCTGCAGGAGGAATTCTTTGGGGGTATTTCAGTCTCAGATAGACTTAATGCCTCCTTGAGTGATCTGGGTCACCCTTAAAAAAATCCACGTATGTTTCCTCACAAGTCAGTACAGGACAAGGAGAGATGCATCTTCCTTCTTCTGTAGAATGGAAAGAGCCTAATCTTTGACTGTGAGTGCCAAGATCCCCAGCTGCCACTCTCTGAGCCCAAGAAACAGTGTTACCAATGGATGATGCACTGCCATGATGGGCATTAGCAAAACAGAGAAGTACAAGACATTTTGGCTCTGCTTTGAAACCCCTGAAAACTTCATCATTTTGAGTTGTAAGACTTGAATAAAGTCCTGTAGCACTTTGACACTCAACCTCTAGTCAGCCTCTTGCCTCGAAACATTTCATACATTAAAGGCAGTGGATAATATATAAATAGAAAATACATACATAAGTAAAACTTATCTTTAAGTATTTTAGGGCTGTAGAAAGTGTGAGTTCTACCTGCATTGTTATAATTCATATTCTGCACAATTAACTTGCTGGGTAGTATCTTGTCTGACTAAATGGCATGAAATGGGAAGAAGCTGCTCAGGGAAAGCAGACAGTCCTTCAGCATAAGAAAGTTGGGAAAGATCTTAATTGGGAAATTTCTACTTGCTGAGCTCCAGCCAGGACAGCAGACTGGCCTCTCTCAGGTTTCAGCTGATGATCAAAAGAACATTAAAATATGAAAGACTTATGATAAAGAGCAGAGAGCTGAAATAAGACTGCTGGAAAGAAGCATCAGGATTGCCTCTCTCCCCCTGACCAGCAACAGGGGGCTCAGCATTGCGCAGACCTTACCCAAAACCAGCCAAGAAGTGTCCACATTCAGGTAAGCCCCACGCTGATGAGCCTGGTGACATTTTCTCCGAGGGCTTTGCTGATTAGGCAGTGCTTTGTGGTGCTTTTCAGCTGTCCAACGGCTTTGCAGGTGCTGAGCACAGCTGGGGGAGTTGTTTCACTACAGCTGATCAACAGCAGCTTTCACACTGAGACCAAATCTGAGTAATCAAAGACATCCCTCCCCCCAAATTAGTAGCAACAACTACATCAAGAGAAGGGAGAACTTAACAGGGACTAAAAGAAGTCTAAAGTGCAACTTCCTTTGTATCCAAAAGCTGTGGATACAGTTCCACTGCAAGATAAACTTTTATTCAAAGTACAATGATACCCAGCTGTGTAGGACATGGTGTATGATATCCATTATTAAGTGTCTCTGACAAGGATGCTAATCTAAGGTAAAAGATGCTGTGCAAATAGTGCCTTTAAACATGAACACAGTTCCTAAAAACAATAACCACCAGGGGAAAAACTGTGCTCTTGAAGTAATTTCTAGTAATTTCATGAAGGAAATCAACACTTAAAGCACATTAAAATAAACTTTGAAAATCTGATGCTCCAAGGCTTTCCAGTGTTACACTTTTTTATATATATATAAATAATGGATGAATTCAATGGTAAAAAAAATAGATAAGCTTTTCTGTGCAATCTGTCTGGAAAAGATAATGAATTTCTTAGCTTTCAATAAGCACAATTGTTTTAAGGAGCCACACCTGGTTGACTGCTGATAAACAGAGGTTGAAAAAAATTCATTAGACTAACAGAAGCCTAATCTGATGCATTTGCAACAAGCACAGTCTCGTGAACATTTATACTACAGTAGATGAAAATTTTAACCAATAGGAAGGAGCAATGAATAATTTGCTTCACTCAATATGAAACACAATGAATTTTAACCTCAGACTCATGATTTGAGCTCATCCTTGGGTTTTGTGGTGGTCCCCCCTGAAAGTGTATCCTTATCAAGGTTATCTTGTACATCTGCTGATGTGTTATTTGAAGAATTCTCAGTGTTACATAAATCTTTCTCTACAGTGCCTGGGCGACTGCCACAGTCATTGTTCAAATTTTCATCATCTTTTTTGGCATGAGAAGTGTCCTCCTTTCTGTCTGAAGTGTCATGAATTTCTTCTGATTTTGAAATCTGACCAGTATCAGTGTCACTGTTCTTTTCACTGTTGTTCTGCCTGACAGCATCACAGTTCATTTCTTGTTCATCCTGATCATTTTCTTCCCCATTTTTTGTGAGTTCTACCTTTCTTTCTTCAGCTGTTTTACCAGCTGAGCTTCCACTGGCCGATGCATGCTTAGGCTCTTTTGTTTTCTTATGCTTAGAAATATGACTGTTGGGGATAGAAACTGGAGATGCTGGCTTTTTATTTGTTTTGCTCCCCTCTGACTTCTGTTTTCTTGGGGGTCCCCAGATAAAATGCTCTGAGGGTGTATAATGTTGCTGGGCAAATCTCAGCAGTTTCCTCCTTTCTCTTCGGTCTCTAATAGTATACACAAAATATTCTAGAGCACTTTGCTTAATGTTGGGAATGGTATCTTCCACAAGAGCTTCATGCAGAATGAATTTTACCAGGGGAGATTTGAAACTCTCATATCCAAGTTCACCAAGACTTTTCAGAATTCGAGTGATTCTCAAGTAGTTATGTTGAGACCTTTGGAAGAAAAGGATGAAAAAAAATTCTATTGAATCAGAAAAAAAACAAACACCTTACAAGCACAGACCTGGAACTGCAATTCCTCAGTCCTTTTTATCACTCCAGGTGTGTACTTCAGGCTTCCTGTACTTTAATTTCTCACAGCTGCTGAAGCTTGCTAGCACCTCCTTTGCTAGGATGTTGTGAGTGAAAATTAGTGTTTGCAAAAAGCACTGGGGGAGTAAGCTGAAAGAAAATAAAATCAGATGTGTACTGATTTTGATTGCTTCTCCTGTATGAGGATGGCAACAAGGCTGGGGAAGGGTCTGAAATATAAGTCCTATGAGGAGCAGCTGAAGGAAATGGGGTTGTTTAGACTAAAGAAAAGGAGGCTCAGGGGAAACCTTATCACTCTCTACAACTACCTGAGGAGATTGTGCTGAGGTGAGGGTTGGTCTTTTCTCACAAGCATCTACAGGGACAAGAGGAAACAGCCTCAAGTTGCTCCAAGGGAAGGTTCAGGTTGGATATTAGGCAACATTTCTTCACTGAAATGGTGGTTAAGCATGGGAACACATTACCCAGGGAGGTGGTGGAATCACCATCCCTGGAAGAGTTCAAAAAATGAGTAGATGCAGCACTTAGGGTGGTGTTCAGCCACAGGTTGGATTCAATGATCTTGCAGGTCTTTTCGAAGCTTAATGATTCTGTGATTCTATGCTGTTTGCTTTCTGATGAGACAACCCAAACACTTTAAAAAATGGAGAGTTTGTAGTGTATTTACAGTGTAGCTACAGAACAGGATTCACTGCAGTTCCCTCAAGCTATTTAAATGCCTCCATACTCCAGCCTAGAGTAGCTACTTGTACTTCTGATACAGTAAGTACTGGGGGACAAACAGACACCTCTGAAGAGCAAGTCCCACTGCTGTAGTCAGTGTTTAAGATAAAATTAACAAATTGTC